CTGTGCATCTCTATCAGTGTTACAGAGGGCGGACAATTTGCGTTTACTCCGTATAAGCTTTATACAGAGTAAAACGGATTTATTTGGGGATTTGGATCCCATTGGGAACTTGGTGTCTGGGTGCTGGAGACAGGAGTACTTGCTGAGCTGTTTTCAGTTAAGTCTGAAGCTTTGGGGGCATGGTTCAGACCCTGGGTCTGTGTTGCAGCAGGCTAGCGTGTCTGGCTCAAAAAGACAGGGTTCTGGAGTCCCAAGCTGACAAAGAAAACAGGCTCAGAGGTAGTTTCAGCATGTCAGGTGACAGTCCAAAGGGGGGTCTTTGTGACCAAACCCGTCACAGTAGGGTTGCACACCCTTGGAGCTTCTGCAATTCTCCATTATACTTAGGGCCCTACCAAATTCATGGCCATGAAAAATGTGTCATTGAACACAAAATCTGGTCTTGTGTGTGCTTTTACACCCATACTACACCGATTGTATGGGGGAAACTAGCATTTCTCAAATTGAGGGTCCTGATCCAAAATGCACTGCTGCCTTCAGAGCAGGGCGGCCGGAGAGTGGCGGAGGCTGACTGAGTGCCCACCTCTGCAGGCAGCAGCTCCGACTTCAGAGCTGGGCTCCTGGCCAGCAGCCACCAGCTGCCCAGCAGTGAAGGCAGCATTGCCACCAGCAGCACAGAAGTAAGGGTGGCAATACAGCAAACCCCACCCCCACAATAGCCTTGTGACTCCCCACCCCAGCTACTCCTTTTTGGGTCAGGACCACTACAATTACAACACTGTGACATTTCCGATTCAAATAGCTGAAATCATGAAATTTACAATTTAAAAAATTCTGTGACTGAAATTGATCAAAATGGACCATGAATTTGGTAGGGCCATAATTATACCATATGCAGTCTCTGAAAGATACGCACCTTTTGAATATTGTAGTCAGACAGTGTGCGTCCATCTTCCAACTGCTTGCCAGCAAAAATAAGTCGTTGTTGATCAGGAGGAATTCCTAAGGAAAAGTGAATCAAGATTAAATAAAAAAATCTACTCAAATTTCCTATAAGAGTAGAGTCAAAAGCAATGCTCACTACAGAAATAAAATTTACAGAACATAGACAGCAGGACATGAAGATACACTTACAAAACTTTTCTGTAAGTGAAATTTAATTTTGATACTAGTGATCATAGAACAGGGGTGGGCAAACTTTTTGGCCCAACATTGGCGTTGCGAAACTATATGGAAGGCTGGGTAGGGAAGGCTGTGCCTCTCCAAACAGCCTGGCCCCCGCCGGCTCCGAACTATCCAACCCCCCCGCTCCTTGTCCCCGACTGCCCCCTCCCAGGCCCCCTGCCCCTAACCACCCCCCAGGACCTCACCCCCATCCAACCCCCCCCCCCGCTCCCTATCCACACCCCTGCCCCCCGACAGTTCCCCCCCGAGGCTCCCACACTTATCCATCGCCCCCCTGTTCCCCATCTCTTGACTGTCACCCCCCCCAAACCTCCGCCCCATCCAACCAGCCCCTGCTCCCTGTCTGCCCCCGGGACCCCTTGCCCCTCATCCCCATGCTGCTCGGAGCAGCAGGAGCTCGCAGCCCCACCGCCCAACAGGAGCAGTGGCTCAGAGCGCTGGTGGCGTGGCACACTGAGGCTGTGGGGGAGGGAGAACAGTAGGGGAGGGGCCGGGGACTAGCCTCCTTAGCCAGGAGCTCAGGGGCCGGGCAGGACAGTCCCACAGGCCGTAGTTTGCCCACCTCTGTCATAGAAAATACTCTCAGATTTTTGGGAAATGATATTTGAGGTAAGTTACTCTTTATCTAAAGGAGAATGATCAGAGTAGGAAACACAGGAGTCCAAAGAGTATTGAACTTACCTTCCTTATCCTGGATCTTGGCCTTCACATTTTCTATAGTATCAGAAGGCTCAACCTATTATTAAAAAAAGTGGAAAACCACTGTTAAAACTCTGAAGTAGAATTATATTAGCTATACAGGTCTATGAAATTTTTTCAGTGAAAGCTACAGGCCAGATTTTCTAAGGGGCATCAAACCAATCTTATTTCTTTGCAGTAATATTGTCATTTGCACAGTGATGTACAAAAACAGACACCAAATTCAAATTGTGGACTCAAATTTTAAGTCTTTCAAGCAACAGATAAAAATGCCTAGGGAGGTGGTGGAATCTCCTTCCTTAGAAGTTTTTAAGGTCAGGCTTGACAAAGCCTTGGCTGGGATGATTTAATTGGGGATGGGTCCTGCTTTTGAGCAGGGGGTTGGACTAGATGACCTCCTGAGGTCCCTTCCAACCCTGATATTCTATGATTCTGTGATTCTATGATAGCTTAGAGATTTAGCAGAAACATAAGAAATGTAATTTGTATAATCTATTTCAACTGACAGTAAGAGAGTTTTCTACATGCACTTATCAACCCCATAACTTCTGGTTACAAGATGCTTAAGAAAAAAATTATACTTTCAAGATCACTCATGAGTCTGAAACTCTCCTTCCTACTTGCATGAAACCACCTGGAGGAGAGCTCTGCATGCTGGGGAAGAAGATTACAACAACGCCTTACAAGTTTGTAAATTAATGGGGCTTTATTATATTTTCAGTGCATTTAGTTTATACATTTGACACTGTGCCTAATCAATGTCTCCTATTTGTGTAGGTCTTTCAGAAAGCAAAGGGAAGCATTTGGCAGAACAGGGAAGTGGGATTACAGAACCACAAAAACACGTAATCAAGAACAGGCTTAGTGTCTTAAACAGTGAAGTCATTTTTATGCAGTGGCTGGATCTTGAATGTTTCCATTTCAACAGTACTCTTTACTCACCAACTATAGAGGAGGCGGATTATATATAACGCCCCCTCCCCGCGGGAGATATTTAGGGGGTCCTGGTGGGCTTTCCCATTCTGCGCCTCTTTGTGCATCCTGCTTCGAACTGTCCCAAAGGAGAGGCCGCCTCACAAGAAGTTTGAAAAAACAAAGCCACCCTTGCCCGAGGACTGTGCCGAGCCCTGGCTGGCAGCGGCGAGAGGCGCCCGGGCCGCGCGTGGCAGCGTTCGGTGGGGAGAGCTCGGCCCTCTGCCCCCCACCCAGTATCCGCGTCCCCTACAGACAGACACTGGCCGTGTGCGCCCAGGGGCCCCCATCCCCACACAGGGCGCCTACAGATGGGGAGGGCGCATGGTCCCTCCGACCCCTGCACCGGGCGCCTATAGATGCGGAGCAAGGGTGCATACCGCCCCACGCATAGGGCGCCTACTGCTAGGGGAGGGTGCGGCCCCTGGCGCACTCACCTCGAGGGTGATGGTTTTCCCGGTCAGGGTCTTCACGAAGATCTGCATGGCGCGGCCGGCACCTGCGGGCAGAGAGAGTGCGGTGAGAGGAGCACGCGGTGAGGGGACCGGAATAGGTGGGGGAGAAGCGAACACTCACCACCGACCTGCTCGCGGAATGGCGGATGCCGGAAAGAGAGCCCTGTTCGGCCCGCACGGGGTTTCCAGCCTAGGGAGAGGAGGGGACTCCAGGCCGGCGCGCCGCTCCGCGCATGCGATGGGGCGAGACTACAACTCCCAGCATGCACCGCCGGTACAAGACACACCAGGACCTCCTGGGGATTGTGGTTTCCATGTTGGCATGAAGGGGGTCGTATGAACGGGCTGATGGAAGTTGTAGTCAAAAGTTGGGTGCGTAAGAGGGGACGAAACTACATTTTCCACAATGCACCTGACTGAACTCCTCCCTCCCCCACGCTCCATTAGAGCGCAGTGACCGGTAACGGGCGCTGCGGCTGGTCGGGGTGTGAGTGGGCTGAAGTGCCGCCGCGGCCTGAGTGGCGTCTGCAGCGGCGTGGTGCGTCCCGCTGTAGCGGACCAGCCGGAGAGTGGGTCGGCTCGTGCTGCGATTCGGCTCTGGCTCTGGCTCTGGCCCTGGCCCAAAAACCTGGCGTGGGCCCGACCGCCAGCGTTGGTCGCGGGCTCCCCTTTGGTTTCCACGGCGGCGGGCCCGTGCCGGGGAGCCCTTAGCTGCGCCCCACTGAGCCCTGCTCCTGTGCAGGGGCTGGGGGTAAAGCAGTAAGGAGCAGCGAGGTCGGGTTGTGGGGTGATGCGGGCACTGCCCGTCATCAAAACAGAAGTGGGGTTGCTGCGCTCGAGCAAACCTGGGGCCCTTAACGGGAGTAGCAGGAAAACATGGCTGGCCTAGAGCACAGTCAGTTCGGCTAATGCGGCACTTCTGGGAAACTACATAGAGGCGTTCGGAAATAGATGCAGGGGATTGGACTGATTGACTTAGGAGCTCCCTTGCAGAGTACTTGGATAATGTGTTCTTTTACTCATTGCTTCACTTGATTTGTTTGGTCAAGTAAAATTAATGTATAAATTCAGAAAATGCTTATTTTCTCCAGTTCCCTCTTTCCTTCCACCACTCCACATGTAGATATCAACCATGCAAACTACTCTAGTTGGACAGACACATGTTGCCAGGTGCAGTCTCAGAAGACACTGGGGCTCCATGGGTCTGGAGAGCCGCCAGTGTGGAGCAACTTGCAGACTCAGGGTCTTTTGTAGCACAACAGAGATGACTTCCAACCACCCCTCTGATTAGTGAAAAATGGCTAGATTTGGCAGTGATGATAGGGAAATGGTTACAAATCACATAGGAAAGAAACCTAGAACAGATGTTCACAAGATGCAATAGTTTATGTGGAAATGGTAAGAAAATTTTGTCTTTTTTAATAATGAAACATTTGATGATAAGCATTAATAAAGTGCCATAGTAGATGAAGAATAGTACCTCTTGACACGTGAATATGAGTTGGTGTCTCATTTATACTACATTATTTTAACAGTCTCATGTTTTGTTTAGGTTTACACTGACGCATTTACTTCTGTTGAAGAAAAGAGGGAACCGGGCTTAAATTTTCTATAAGAAATGAAAGTGTTGCTTTTCAACCATGTCCACCCATAATATTGGAGTGAGCAGACATTCAGTTCTCCCTCCCATTGTTCCTGACAGTGATAAGAAATTTTTGGACAGTATACAAAGATACATCATTACAGAGATTGAAAAAGTGGGTTGTACAGAACAAGGACCAGCTGAGGAGTATTACATTATATACAGAAATGTTTTTGACAAGGTAACAAAGCACTATAGGAAAATATTTTCTTTGTAAACAAGCAGTGGAAAGGGCTCTCAATCTTAGATGCACTGATAAACAGGAAGTGATGTGTGTCATTTTTTTAAAATGAGACTTTAGATTCAAATCCTCAAAGGTATTTGGCCTAGTCGATGAAATTAATAGATGTTAGGATTCTAAATACCTTTGAGAAGCTGGGCCTTAGTGCTCACAAGAGGTTGGCTTGACAGCCCTGAAGAATGAATAAGTGTCTTCATCCGTAAGACAGGTACAGCACTGGAAGCAGCAGTATAAGCTTCCTCACCAATGTACTTCATCTCTGACCTGGAAATACCGGGTTTAGGGGTGAAAGGGTAGCACTGTCTCCATGGGCATACAAGGCCAGATTCTCCCCCATGTTAGGGCGATTTTGTGCTGCTCTGGTATTTCAGAGCTGCGCTAAAACCAGCATAGACTACAATTATGCATGGATTACATTGTATGATTTCTCTATGCTATACAGTCTTTATAGTGTCTTCTATACCACATCCTTCCTTGCCATTGGCCCAAGGGGTATCACTGAGGGAAGAAGATGGGGCTAGGGAAGGGTGGATAAAAATCAATGATTTAAAAAAAAAAAAAAATTCTAAAAGGGCCAATGAAAACAAAAATGGTAAATTGTAAACAAATTTCTTTGCCTACCATTACAAACAAATTACTGAAAGAACTTACAATAGTGAATATTTAAAAATCACTTCGCAGCATTTTTACTGTTTTTTGTATCTCACTCATTTTGAATAATGAAAATCATTTTCACTTTTGTTTATAATCAGTTTTTCTTTCAGATTTTTGGTGTTGCAACATTTGGATTTAAAAAACTTGAAATGAATGTTTGGGAGAGAGCTGCAATACATCTACATACATATTAATATGTCTTGTAAATCTAAAGTAAATTTTCTATACAGTTGAGTAACCGTCTTATACACAGTAAATTCATCAGTAACAAAGTTTCTATTTGTATAATGAAAATGCTCAAAAATTGCTTTTTTTGCACTTTGTACTTTCAGACAGGGATAAAGTAGTTGTTGGAACTTGTTCATTACCTTCTTTGTAGCTAAAAGCCTATATTGTGAGAGCACAGCACTGATGAATGTGTCTGCCAAAGCTGTGGGTGCAGCTGAATTGGCCGCATGGGGTATGTGGATGACTTCACAGGCTTCCACTGTGTTCTGTGAATTTTCCTGTAAGAAAGACTGTGCAGCTGTCTGCAAGCACAATGTAACTGGACCAGGTTTTCCAATTTCAGCATCATCCCTCGGTTCATTTCTTCACTGTGAATAGAAAAGATACAATGAAATCAGGGTGGATTTGATTTAAATCAAATTGATTTAAAAAATCTGATTTTTTTTAAAAAAATCAGTGATATTTATCCACGCTGCTTTTTGACATTTCATAAAACTTGTCTTATGTCATTCCAGATTGAATCAATTATCATCCAATCACACTTCTAGAGAGCTATACAATGAATTTACTAGTTTGAAAAATGTCAGTTATATAGACTGAAGATTAAAAGAAAATATATCTATAGCAAGTCCCCAAATATCAGGGTGGATAAAAATCAATGACTTAAAAAATAAAAATCCAATTTTTTATATTTAAATCAGATTTTTTTCCTCAAAAATCATCTAAAGATAGTTTTGATTAAGATACACTGTAGCTCAAAGATATCTCATCATGAAATAGGGATTATAAATTCTAATTCTATAGTATGAGACAATATATTCATGTAATGTTTAAGAAAAGTTTTGTAAGTAAGTTCCAATAGTTCATGGATTAGGGACCCAATCTTATGGGCCTCCATGGGCTTTTGTATAGATTATTTAGGTAATCTTTCTATCTACCCAATGGGACTTAGTGCTCAGTCTATGATACCATCAGAGATGCTTAGTTTTGCCGTTCTTGATTTGTGTCTCCAGAGATAACATATTTGTTAACAGCAAAAATGTTTTAAAATAAATAAATAATATATGGAGGTGACAAATAACAGACCTCAACCCTATTGTCCCTCTGCAAATTTGTGTACACAGAGTCAATCCCTTACCTCTCTAAAAGTGCAAAGTTTCAGAAAGTTCTATGAATAGAAGATTGTTGGGGGTGGAATAGATCTGCACAAGGAGAAGAAGTCTGGAGATAAATGTGAGAAGGGAGGGACAGGCAGTAGAAACAAAAGTGAAACTCTTTGAGCAGCATATTCCAGAAGTCTTGAGGTCTTTCTGAGTATAGCCTTCGTTGATTTGAGATCTACCAATTCTGTTCTCTCACTAGAAGGGAAAACCTATCATGGCAGCAGGCCGTAAAAGACCCAGTTTGGGAATATTTTAATGAAGTTCCTCTGCCTGTGGGTAAGACAGGCAGGTATGCAAAATGCAAACAGTGCAGCAAAGAAATGCAAGGCCTAGTTGCTCAAATGAAACAACATCATGAAAAGTGTTCCTTCTCAAGAGGAAGTTGCCTTGAAGATTATGAAAGGAACATGTCTGAACATGCAGGATCTTCAGGTTGGTAAACTTTTTTATTTCATGCTACTTTCTTAAGGACTGCCTGTCCTCCTGGACTATTCTTGAATTCTCATGTTTGATTAAAAAATATAGTTGTTAGTTACTCTCTGGTACTATCATTTTAGATGCAGTTGTTATAAAAAATAAATGTGATAAAAATAGCTGAAATAGGCAGATCTTTCTTTTACAATTTCACCTTTAAATTAGTACTTAGTGTCAGTGAATGAAATTAATAATACGAAATGAGCAGTATGGTAATAATAACTGCATTGTCTTATTTTTTTAGGAGAATCCATCCTCAACATACAGGATTCTGCAGATTATCTACCTTCAAGATCACCATTATGTTCTATAGTTTCAGAGTTATCTGCCAATGATAATGTTTCAGTCACATCATGTATGTCACATAGCCACAGTATATCACCTGTAGCAAAAAAAAAATCTCCATAATCCAGAAACAACCATAGATATCTTTGTGATAAGAACCAGCAGATTACGAAAAGAGGTAATTGATGGAAAAATTGCTCGGTTTGTATATGCAACAAATTCTCCTTGCCGTATGATTGAGAACCCACACTTCATTAGCATGGTTCAGTCATTCTGGCCAGGATACAGTCCAACCAACGAGCAGATGTCGCTGGCAAATTGCTGGGTAAAGTGTATGAAAGAAATCGAGCAGTGTGCAAAAGGTCTAGAGGGTAGAATTGTTAACCTGAGTCTTGATGGGGGAGCAAAGTCCACAATAATCCTGTTGTATGTACTTGTGTGACGAGAAGAAGGGAACGTCTTCAGGAAATACGCACACACAGCAGCATACTTACAAGAAGTAGAAGTAAAAGCTATAACAAACTGAAAAAAGAAAATTAAAATGTCTAGTATGCAGCTTGGTCACATACAATGCTGCAAATGTATCCAAAATGAGAAGAAATGATTTAGAAGAGAGTGAAGAGAGTCCCAAGCTAATAACATATGGTTGCAGTGCTCATTTGATGCGCCTCCTAGCCAAAGATTTCAGTGTTCCAGAAATAAAGGCTAATGTTGAAATTTCAAAATACTTCCCTAACCACCATTTTGCAGCGGCTGCTTTGAAAAAAGTGGGAGGAACCAAGCTAACTCCCACAAGACATGCGATGGAACTCAGTAGTGGACTGTCTTGAGCTGTATATCAAGAACTGATGACAGTTTGTGAACAAAATCATGAAAAAATAGATGGCACTGTCACAGCCAAAGTTCTCAACATTGGGCTTAAGAGAAATGTTGAACACATGCTGAGTACCCTGAAACCTGTTTCTGTAGCCTTGAACAAAATGCAGGGAAATAACTGTTTTATTGCTGATGCCATTGAAATTTGGAAGGAACTGAGTGAGATCTGAAAAAGAAAAAAGTGCAATGACAGAGTTTAAATTACAGGCATTAAAAAAACAAATGGGACCAGCACTATCTCCAGCTCATTTTCTTGGAAATATTCTCAATACTCGGTACTAGGGTCAAACCTTAACTGCTGAAGAAGAGTAGTTGGCTACGACATGGACATCCAGCAATCATCCCTCCATGATGCCAACTGTAATAAACTTCAGAGCTAAAGGTGAAGCATTCAAGAAATATAAGTTTGATGTTTTAAAGAAAGTCTCTCCAGTGAACTGGTGGAGGTCACTTCAAGCACTTGGATTCAGAGATTGTTGAAGTGATGATCTCACTTTTAACTGTAGTAGCTTCTGCCGGTGTAGAAATATTATTTTCTTCCTTTTTGGACTAATTCATTCCAAATTGAGAAATCGTTTAGGACCTGAAAAAGCAGGAAAGCTTGTTTTTTCTTTTCCAGATTATGAACAAACAGGAAAATGAAGATGACGATGAATGAGTTAGCTGCAAAAGCCAATATTTTAAGTTTCTCATGTTGACCTGGCTGACATAGTTTGATTTTTTTTTTAATTCATCTAACTGTTTTAGTTTAAAATTGTTTTTAACAAAAACAAACTTGATTTGAAAAAACTTGAATGTCTAACTAAATTAAAAAATTAATATGCTTGTTTTGTTAAAATGTTTGGCGTTGAAGAAAAAAATCCAGAATACATAATGTTTTTAGTTAAATAAAACAATTTAAATGTCTGTTTGGTGATGTTCTCCTCCTAATACAGCATGGCAAGAAAATCCTCCAAATATTAATGATTAACCTGTTGAATTGAGGATAGTTCACCTCCCAATGACTTCATAAATATCTGCTTCAGTTATTTTTGGTAAATGAAATAACCAAACAATCATTCCTCTTCTGATGTAGCTGTAAAACTAATCTGAAAAGTTTTGAAAATAAATCACTTTCAAATGTATAGTGTGTACCTTCTAAAAATGAAACCTACATCAATCTCTGAGTTATGAAGAATATGTATTAAGGTTATAACAACCAATGAGAATGCACTTTTATGTAGAAATCCATGATCAAATTGAGTCTTCCTGACGAGTGATTTAAATCAAATCCACCCTGGCTAGGGGGTGTCTGTGATCTCTGGCTGCCATAACTGCCCCTTGGGACTGTTGGCAGCTGGTGTAAGTTAAAGCAGCTCTAACTTTTGGTGGGAGATCAGACTGTTGCTTACTTGTTTTAGGATTAATGCGACTTTGCGCTTCCGTCCCTCTAGTTGCATTGAGTACTCTGACTGGAGCCCAGGATCAGGCTATAATGTCTGGCCTTTTATCGGAGAGCCATAACAAATGCTCTCCTTTTGTTGGTGGTTTTGTGATGTAGACATCTAGGAACTAGAGTGAGACCACCAAGTCACTTCACTGCACAGCCATTATAAAATACATTAGAATTGGAATAACCTAGCATTAGAACAATTTGGGGCAATGACACTCATAGAAAGTCTTTAAATACCGGCACAGGTATGCTCCTTCTTTTGCCCTGAACGTTGTCCCTTATGTCAAGATGTGGCAAGATAATGAATTTCCTCAAAGCTTCACACAAACGCTTCTACTTTTTAACATTTCTTCATCAGGGGTTCCATTCCTTATTTCTGAAGGCTTTTTACTTTGATGTTTTTGTATTGAATAGTTCTCCCCTCAAGTAAATGGAGTTTGACTGCTCTGTGAGGGAGCTACTCAGTGAGCTGGCAATTTAAAACCAGCTGATACTCCCCATTGACCAATCCCCAACAGGAAGTTGGGGATTCTTCCTGCTTTGAGCAGGGGATTGGAGGTCCCTTCCAACCCTGATATTCTAAGGCTATATTCCATTTTAAAGGTATTTAAAATGCATTAAACCAGTTGATCTGATGTCCATTAATACTACATAAATTGACTCAGTATTCACAGGAAAAATCTTGGCCTCTGCTTTATTCCTGTAAATATCCATTTGACTTTATAAATCAAAATCTATAGTGGCACCCAGCTGATTGGCTACACTGAAAATTAGTTTGTTGATTCCATTATATACTCCCTTCTTGAACTTGGCCATTTTAATTGCAGACAGAACCTGAGACGTAAAGTCTCAGAAGGGTTGATATTTTTCCCCCCTTGCAAACTTTCAAACTGAAAGATCTTAATAACGTACAGTAAATGTCTGAGAAATAAAGGTCTGGTGTTAGACTCCTAATTCCATTTTCTCATGTAAACAGAACTAACTTGTTTTCTGTCTTCCACCTTAATTAGATTGGCCTCGTTAGCACTAACCCCCCCACTTGGTAAGGCCACTCCCATCTGTTCCATGTGCAGTGTGTATGTGTGTGTGTGTATGTGTATATATATATATATATATACACACACTGCTTACTGTATTTTTCACTCCATGCATCTGATGAAGTAGGTTTTAGCGCACAAAAGCTTATTCCCAAATAAATTAGTTAGTCTCTAAGGTGCCATAAGCACTCCTGTTTGTTTTCGCTGATACAGGCTAACACAGCTACCACTCTGAAACTTGTTTCTTGAAGAGTCCTCTGCTCTGTCAGTGAGGAGCTCTCCCATTTTTTCTCCACTTTCATATCTCTCATATGTCATGCTCACAGTTATGGGGACTCTTCTAGCTGAGGAGGACTGGATATAACACCTTTTGGAGCCCATCAATGCTGCTCTTTAATAAGGTTGAGGATCCTGAAAGCCTTCCACTGTGTCCTAAGGGATTCTCTCTGTATTGTGCTTTGCTTTTTTCAGCTGCCAAGAGAGGTGTAATGTACAGGAATCAAAACTGGGACTTCTGCATACCTAATTTTACATGCATGTAAAATCAGTTTTTGCATCCTTTGCATGCATGAGTAAGGGCTGCAGGATTAAACCCCCCCCCCCCCCAAATTGTGAGTTTGAGCTAATGCTTTATACTATTTAAAAAAACATTGGCATAGCCTGGTCCCTTCCTCCTTAACCTTTCCAGAACTATAAGTGCTCTGAAGGCATCAGGCTTAGTACCTATTGAAGAAAGCATCTCATGTTGCTGAAAAGTGGTTCTTCTAGCTGCATAAAGAATAGTGTTCACATGTCCTGAAAATTATCCCTTAACTTCAATAATATCTAAGATTATTTAAACTGAAAGAAGTGTGGAGTTCATTTGTCACCACTTTATAGTTTGTGCACTTTCATCAGCTTGGGCAATGAAAACAGACTTTGTCAGTTTTATTTTCTGCTTCTCATGCATTAGCACAGTGCTGCAATTTGAAGTGTGCACTGTGTCCAGTTGTTTCTATTTACTCTGACTGTTGTGTTGTTTGGAGATTTGCTGGGAGTCAGGAGGGGTGTTCTATTAACCACGTCAGTATATCGCACTGTAGATGGAAAAACATGTCTTCACAGATAATAGAGCATGCTACTGTGTACAAGAACATTCTGACTTCAATCAAACAGGAGTATGATGCATTTATTGAAGCGATAAAAAAGGGCCAAAGGAATGCATTTTATCTTCATGGAAAATTGAAAGTTCTGGCATTTGAGCCTACAACTCTAATATGTTATAGAAAAAGAACAATCCAACTTGAAGACAAGTAAGACCACCTCTAATATATTGTGTAAAGCAACATGTGTGATACTAACTCTGGTGTGTAAATAATTTAAAATGTAGCTAGTTTATCACAGTTGTGATTTTTAAAAATTAGTTTTATTCTTTTATTATTCATTAGGTAGAAGTTCCAAAATGGCTGTGTAATTGTTAAAAGAATAGTTTCACTTTTGTATTTCCAGGCCTGATTCTGCAATTCTTGTGGAGATTTGGCCCCCATAAGTACTGCAGGATCAGGCTCTTGAGTTAAACACATATAGTTTCCCCCATTTGTAAAATAAAGACAGTATAACTTCCAAGTGAAGGTTCATTGTCAAAATGTATTATATTAGGATACTTTGTTTAATATAACTGGGAATTGGTCCTGCTTCGAGCAGGGGGTTGGACTAGATGACCTTCAGGGGTCCCTTCCAACCCTGATATTCTATGATTCTATGAGAAGTATAAAACAGAGGAAGAATTATTCACTTTCCCTCAGTCTGCTATGTGTCTTTCTTTACTGTCCTGTACTTTACTGGTGTCATATAGTTGTATGTATGTGATAAGATTATCAGAAGGTGCATGCCCATATGCTCAGGGTTTAGCTGATCGCCATATTTGGGGTCGGGAAGGATTTTCCTCCAGGGCAGATTGGAACAGGCCCTGGAGGTTGTTCGCCTTCCTCTGTAGCATGGGGCACGGGTCACTTGCTGGAGGATTCTCTGCTCCTTGAAGTCTTTAAACCACGATTTGAGGACTTCAATAGCTCAGACATAGATGAGAGGTTTTTTGCAGGTGTGGTGGGTGAAATTCTGTGGCCTGTGTTGTGCAGGAGGTCAGACTAGATGATCATAATGGTCCCTTCTGACCTAAATATCTATGAATCTATGCCTCTAGTCCAGGGGTTCTCAGGACAACTTTTTTGGTGGCCTTAGAGTACGGCCACCAACTCTTGCTGGCAGCCACTCTCACACTTTTCCCTAAAATACTTAATTAGCTTTAGGAAAAACAAATAAATATGCACATAGACATGTCCAAAACATTATTTATTGATTGCTAGCTAGAAATCACTTTTCAGAACAGACTATTAACAAACGTGAGTATCACTTTTCACAGCAGACATGCTCAGCCCTGCCAAGCCTGGGGACAAATTAAGCCCTGGATGGGGAGCTGGGAGAGGCAGTAGGGGGCTGGAGTCTGAAGCCCCGGAGCCTGGGGTCTGCCGCCTCATAGCCAGAGCCCAGGGCTGGAGCCCAAAGTCCCTCAGTCAGAACCTTCTGCCCTGCCACCCCAGGGCTGAAGCCCAAAGCCTGAGCCCCACTGCCCTGGGAAGGTGGGGAATTCACTGGCTGCCTGATCCTCCAGGGTTGTGCCCCAGGTGTCTCCAGAGGGGGGCAGAGCCTTTCTGCTGACAGCCCCAGCAATCAACACTAAGGTGGGGCATCCAGGAGCAACAAGGACGGGGACAGGCTGCTATTTTGCCACTCACCCCCACCCCATCACAGTTGCAAGAAAAGCCCCTGGTGGCTGCATTTGAGAAATGCTGCCTAGCCACAAACAGAATCAAATACAATTAATATGGCATGTTAGGGAACACAAGTAACTGAATGACAGAATAGTGTCGTGACAAACTTAGTATAGCATCTGCTTGCCCTGATGATCTAGGATTCTAAAATGTAGAAAAGAAAATGGAGAATCTTTTCTTTATTCCAGGGTAAAAGTTATTGAGAGAAATTCTGCTAGAATTCAAAATCTGATATTGAAAATAAGAAATATTAATAAAGTGCCCTCTACAGAAGCTTTGACTCCAAGAAAAAAGAGAAACCCTGCTAAGCCTATACCAGGTAAAGACCAATATTTTGTTAGGCAGCCTGAGCATTTCTTTTGGATTAAAGCTTTACTCTTAACTAAAGAGAAGCCACATACACAAAAGGCTGCAGTGATCCTGTAAGGCACTAGCCCATGTTTGGCTGATATGGAACCTCGCTGGCCCAGTGGAAGCTCTGGAAGGATTCATGCTTCAGGGAGCATAATGCCTTCCAGAGCTCTTTGGTAGTCCTGGGGAGCATGCTGACTGTTACAGAACTTGTGTCTCCTTGATTCTGGAGCAGCTGGGGACCAGTTAAACCCATTTGTGCAACCTGGGGCATCCCTGAGGTCTGTTCTAACTTGTTACTGCTGCAATGGACCCTACTGGCAATTGCAGGAGTGCAGAATCATTAGAACACAGGAAAGCCTCAACCACTTCTTCTCTCCCCTTCCCCGCCCCCCCTTCTATTCCTGTGTCTGTCCCTGGCCTACATTAGGATGTTTGTTATGGCAGGGCTTTCTGCAAGGGGTTGCAGAGCCATCTCTGGGGCTGCTGCACAGACCCTCTTGCACCAGGGGGTTTTCTTAGGATGGGGAACATCCCACTCGGAGTCAGTGCAGCCAGGCCAGCACGAAGGGGTTGTAGAGCAGAGCTGAATTCCCCCACTGCGAACAAGGGTTGATTGTGACCAGCTTGTGTGTGGCAGTGCCAGGGGAGATAGTATCTTTCTCTCACATTGCTCAGAAGATGGTCACAATCTGGCCAGTAATGTTTGGTCAGTACTCAGCAAATGGAATCTAAATAACTAGATGTGCATTATAGTATATAACACAGCATTTGTACATTTGTTTCTAAGTCCTCACTGCTGGAACATTACACCAAAAACTAACAGATTCAATTACGGCTCTGGAATATTATTGAACCCTAAACTTTTATCACCTTCTGTACATTATTCGTTTTCACTTATTAATAGAGATGGGCTCTAAAGTAAAGGAAGACTTGGATTATGTCTGAGCTGCAAAGTTCAGTTTTGATTTTCAGATTCGAGAACCCTAGCAAATTACATGTCCCACAGTTTCTGTATCCACATGTGTTTGTCACAATTAAGAGCTCATTAAACACATTTCCTTCTTCAACAGGTCTGACTGTAGAAGAATCTCTCAGCTTAGATGCTCTTTCTAGACACCTTGCTCAGCTGGAAGGGAGAGTGCGGGAACTGAAAGCTGACATGATATCAAAATACATCCCTCTGGAGAACAAGGCTGGCCTAGAGCAGGAACTCAAGCACTCATTGGAACTACGAGATAAGGCAGAGGCAGTGAATGAGAAACTCAGACTGAGGTACAAGTGTTCATACTACAACATATTTTTTTATGTTAGGGATGTTCTCTGCAGTGTTCTGTCTGTCACATGGATTTAGCTTTGGTATGTTATTAATTGTTATAGAGGTATTAACAATATCAGTATTAATTGTGCTCAGTACTTTGCAAAATTCCTTGCCCCTAAGAGCTTATAGTCAACTGACAAAGCATGCAGTGTGGTCATTTAGGGTTAGGTCCTGGCTCCCTGTTCTGTCTATTGCTCCAGCAGCACAAAAGAGATAAAGAGCTGCCTCAAGTGTGCAGCCAGGGATTTCCCTGATGTAGGGGGAATACTTGGATGACAGGTGATGAAGATCCTCTGTTGGCAAAGTGGCACTGAGGGGACCACTCTAACTGGTGTAATCTAGAGTAGCCCTTAGACTGCTTTAAGTTACACTAGGGGCAATTTTGTCCCCTTCTCCCCCCCTCTCCATCAGTTCTTAGATTGTGAGAGATGAAAGGTGCCTTAGATAAATTGAGTGCAGCTTGCTGCGATCTGGAAATCTAGCTCATAGTATGCTGGTGATTTGAAGATGCATTCAATACAAATCAGAATAAGGCTTTTAATGACATAAATATGACAGCCTTCCTATGTTTGGTGGATTAATGATGCTTGGAAGAAGTGCATTTTCAAAGGGTTTCAAAGGAGGCAGTACCTTTTACATTAGGACAGACAAAGACTCCCATCTGTAATGCGCAGCAAAGAGGAAAGCACAAAGATGAGAGTAGGAGAAGGATAAAAGGGAAGCAGTTGGGGAGGAAGGTTTGGGTGGAAGGGAGGGAAGGAGGGATTAGAATGAGAAGAGATGTGGGCAGAGGTCGAGCTTTATAGAACCTTGAAGTTAAGGGTTAGCATGAACTTGATCCTTCATAGGAAACTACTGAGAAGTTACACTGATCCTAATGAAATGTTCGATTCCCTCTTAAACTGTTTATAGTTATAATAGAATTACATTGGTTGCAAATGCTGTGTCTGCCTGGGCAAAATCTGACAAGAGCACCTCCTTGCAAGAACTCCTCTCTCAAGTGATGGAAAAGAAGGAAGTTGTAAAAGGTAAAACCAATAAAAATAGGCAGACAATATTATGAAGCATGGAAAATATGGGACCAGATTCTCAGCTCATGTAAATTAATCTATTTCCATTGATATAAGATTGCATGGCTCCATTGATACCAGTTGAGAATCTGGCCTATACATTTTTATTTTATTTTTTTAAATGTGGGTTGAGATTTTCAAAGGGGCCTGAAAAAATTAGGTGTCCAAATCCCATTTAGAGTCAGTGGAAGTTGGGCCCCTAATTCCTTTAGGTCCCTTTGAAAGTCCCATCCCTAATGATCTTGGGTCATCCATTTCCCCTATGCATGATGCTGCATGTGTCTAGCTTTTAGGAAAATAAGATTTTTGCCCAGAAATCTGATAAAGGTATAGAAAATATTCGCCAGAGTTATACAGGGGTGAATTTGGTCTATGATGTTTTACTACAGTTAAGATGAAGTTGAGGTGTCCTGAGGTGGTTTATACAGTCTCCACCTCTCATGTGCTACCCAAATCCCTCAGGTTTTTTTCCAGAGTCACAGAGGTTTCCTGCTACTCGTACTTCAAATCATCCAGGTTATTTAGGCAAGTGATGTAGTGATGGTGAAGGATCTTTAAAATGTTTTCCAGTCAGTTGCCTTAGGTCTTCTGACATGATCAGCCTTTTTATGAGCATTAAGCACACTCCAAACACTGTCAAGATCCTCTCAGGTGCTGCATGAGTAGAGTGCAGTGATGCGCTTGGCATCAAATGGAATCTTACTTGTTGCTCTCAACTTGTATTGTTAGACAGATCAAGGGAGATACCTCTTATGTTCCTCCACTCTGCTCCTTCTAATGGGCTTTTAGATTGTGGGTCAAATTCTGCTCCCATTTATATCCCTGTAAATCTATGCACTGAATTCAGTGGACTTACATGGGTGTAACTGAAATCAGAATTTGTCCCTATGTATGTTGTTTGCTGCTAGTTGGAGTTTAAAGTGTGGTCTCCACTCCCAGAGCTAAGGGCCAAACTCTACCCTGAGTGACATTCTGTGCAGCTGCATTGGTTTCAGGTGGAACTGTAGAATGTTTCAATGAGTAGAATTTGGTCGTTAGGGTGTCACCTCTCATTCCTAATCTCTGGCATGCTAAGAGTATGTGTCTGGGGACATAGACAGGGAAACTTTGTCCTAGAATTTACCTGCCCTCATTGAAATCATTTCCTAATTACATTTCCACTTGTGGGAGACTTCTTCCGTCTTTTCAACGCTTGAAACATGCATTAGTTTATAGAAGGTCCCTTTCCTGCTTGCTAATGCAAAATAGCCTGGCTAAAACTGTAAACCCATCTTTCTTGAAAGACACATTTCTATGGATCAAAATCTATTCTCTTCTTGTACTCTTGCAATGTTAATGCTGATTTTGTCTATTGAAATAATAACACATTTACCTCCCGTTGATGTGTCTAACTTTCAGCTGCTGCTGCCTTTAGCATCTCTCATATATTTGAACATGACCCCAGCAAGAGTAAAGAGGCTGAAGATTTGCTTGAATATATTGAAAGGTAAATAGAATGCAACTCTTATACTCTACTCTGTGTAAGCAGTTTAGAGCATTACAGAGTTTGGATAACATATCATGTTTAATGCAGTCCCTCCAGGGCAAATTAGGATTTTGTAAAAAGAGCACTCTTTTCTTCTTTTTGTGAATGTCTGGTGTTTGTAAAATGTGCTTGCTAGCCTGACAGCCCTGCGGACCTACATAGAATATCAGGGTTGGAAGGGACCTCAGGAGGTCATCTAGTCCAACCCCCTGCTCAAAGCAGGACCAATCCCCAACTAAATCATCCCAGCCAGGGCTTTGTCAAGCCTGACCTAAAAAATATCTAAACAACAGTTGGTTATCCACATACCAGATGTAGCAAAAGCAGCTTCTCCACACTGCTCTACTCATGTGAGTCAGCCCTGTCCTGGAAGATCACTTTTGGGGAGTAAAGGGTAGTTTTAACTTTACAGTCCATTCCATCCTTGGCCTGTTTGCTGAAACTGCCAACAAAGGTACCAGCAGTGGAGGTGGGTTTGTTTGTTGGTGATATGAACACCTCTGAGGAGATTACTTTGGTCTAGATTTTTTCCTAAAGATACCAATAGGTACCAAGTACGATTTTCAAAAGCACTAGGTGCCTGTTGAGAGTTAGGTGCTTTTAAAAATCCCACTGAGTGCCTGTCTTCATCTTTAGGTGCCTAAATATCTTTAAAACTCTTGCAACTAAGAACTGGAATGAGATCATAAACTCATTTTACACTGTCCACTGAATAACCATGAAATGGTAACAGCTTCCAGGTACTACCAGTCTAGACTGGATTTGACCTCAGTTTGATCCGTGAGCTGAAAGGCCATATTCCACCATACCAGTGCCTCCCAAATCAGCATCTTAAATATAACATTGAAATCTAACTGCAACAGCTTCTTTCTGGAGATCACTATTTGTTAACCCAACAGCAGTGCAGCAAATCAGTCTTTCAGGAGAAAATCTAATTGACACAGTCAGGAGGTGAATGATAATAGAGGCATAGCCAGTTTTAGTAGGGACATTTCAGGGGCTTAATCATAGGCTATCATTATTATAGGCTCTGAGTTCAGTTAACTGGACTCCCAGTCTAGATATGGTTCCCCTTAACGGAGTAATTTGGGACAAGATTTCACTCCTACTGCCCTCCGGTACACTGGAAGGGGATGCAGAGAGACCATGTCGTTGATGGACCCCTGAGGAGGAATTCTGGCTGGGAGCACATGCCTTAGCAGCAACTTGGCCACCCTTTGAGCAAGTGCAGTGCACTCTGTCCTCCATGCCCAGCTGGCGATAAAAGCCAGTGTGGAAACCACGGCATCAGCTTCCCCTGTCCTCCCTGCCTGATAGCAGCACTGAGGGGGATCAGGGATGACACTATTCAACAGCCATTCTTAGCACAAAGGGGAAGCTTCTTGCACCCTCCCTCCCCTAGGAGCCCATGCAGAACATAATATGGGCAGAATCTCACCATTGAATAGTTAATGCAGATGTAGACAACTTTCTGGGTTACTCTCTTGCACAGCTGGTGTTGTGTGCTTTGCAACCTGATTTCCTCATTTAAATGCCTTGTCAGGCCTCCTTTCTTTTGGTCCGCTTTCCATTGATGATCCAGTTCCTGAACACCACTGTGGACACTGTATAAGTTGCTAGGCAGTGTGGTCAGCATTCTATGATCCAGTGTGTAGTGCCTATACTGATGATGTGTACCAAAAGATGAAGATGAGGATAAAGGTAATTTGGGGAACTGAGAGACATTCAATACTGCCACTTGCTGTCACCAGATTTGCTTTCATACAGAAGTACTAGATATTTTAATATATTCTTTGTATTAAAGCCGTGGTATTGCCCATGTCTTTGACATTTGATTCTAGGCTTTCTGGAATTCCTTCCTTGGCTAGTTCACCACATCATCAACCGATCATTTCTTTTTTGTTTTTGTGTCAGTGCTATATTACATTGTCTTTTCCTTCATCTGTCCTAGATTCAATGAATTGTTTTCATATGGTCAGTATGAGACTGCAGCAGTTTATGCTGCAAACTGTCCTAGAGGAATTCTCCGCAATGAAGAAACCATGATGAAATTTAAGGGTATGGAATTTAGATGGAAATACTGTTGGTCACATTCTAAGCTGGTAAAAATTGACATCACTGTTGATTCAAATAGTGCGACACTGACTTACGCCTGCTGAGAATCTGGCTCTATTACTCATGTTGAAAGGAGCCTTGAAGGGACAAAAGTGAATTACTTGTGCATTTGGATTTTACATTTAACACTTCAGAGTAAATATAAAAATAACCTAAGGTATGCTGCGATAAAAAACCCATGGCACAAGGTATCAGAGCCCAGGTTAGCTGACTTGGGCTCATGGGGCTCAGGCTGCATGGCTAATAATAGTAGTGTAGATGTTTATGCTCAGGTTGGAGACCAGCCTCTGAGACTCACTCTCTTCACAGGTCTCAGAGCCTGGGCTCCAGTCTGAGCCTGAACATCTACGTTGCAATTTTATAACCCTGCAGCATGAGCTCAAGTCAGCTGACCTGGGCCAGCTGCAGCTGTGCCACAGGTCTCTTATTGTCGGGTAGACTAAGGGTCCAGATTCTTGGTGCCGTGTCTGGTCACTTTGCACTCGCAAAGGTGCCACACAACTGGATTCTCCTTGCACAAAGGAATCTTTGAGTGGCATAAAGGTAGCATGGCTGACTTTGCCACCTGCTCTTCCTCCTGTGTTTCAGGGGTGTGGCAGGCTCTGGGTGACGGGGCAGCTCCGAACACAAAGAGTTCCATTCAATTCTTGGCCACAGCCCACCGCAGCTAGCAAAACGTAGAGAAGTCTAATGGCTTATCTACGTTTTGCTAAGTTACGCTGGTGGCCATTTCAGTCATTGGTCAGGCTGAGAATCTGGGGAGGCATAAAACGAACTTTGCCTCCCTATGTGGTGCAGCTCAGTAGTGACCTTAAGATCCAGTTTGAAGTTGTCTATACTTGTACTTAAACTGTCTTATTTCCACTTATAAATTAAGTGTATGCAAATAGGTGTGCACAACCGTGCTCATATAACTTTGAAAATCTGGCCCTTCATGCCCTATGCATTAGCTAGAAAAGTTGTTTGAATCACCTGACAGTGTTCCATTCAGCTTATAATTAGGGTCTGAAATACGGATCGTTATCAGTCCAGTAAGGATCAGTAATGCTGTTTACATGCCTGAGATAAATACAGACATGTTCCTTGGTTGTTTTTAGTCCTCCATACTCTGTCCTCCTTTGAATTTGAGGACACAACATGCAGTGAGCATCACTGGTGTCAGTGATGAAGCAGTTGCAGCTTGGTCTTTCCCCTGCAGGTGCTGGAGGGAATGCTGAGAATACCACTGAATTTTATTTTATTACTATTTTTTTCTTCTTCTTCCTCTTTTCACTTTATAGGCAATTGTTAAAGACCAAAAGTAAAGAAGTACAAAAGAACTATGTTAAATTAATATTCAGAATCTGAATTACAAATTAGACAGTAAGCTTTATGTTAGGGCCCGATCTGGCAAAAATTTACTCACTTGCTGAAAATTATGTTCCATTGACTTCAATGGCACTACTCATGTGAGCAGAGATAAGTGTATGCATACATGTTTTCAAGATTGGGGCCTTAGATATAAATCTTTGGGAATACAGACTGAGTCTTCCTATGGGGTTTACAGTGCACAGCACAACAGGGCACAATTATGATTGGTGCTATTGCAATACAAATAATAAGTAATAATATATCAATAATAAAAGAAGGATCAAAGCAAGGAAACTGGGTTAAAGTTGCCTTTACTCTTAACTATAAAACCGACATCCTATACAGAAAGTTTTATAGTGAACTGTCTGTAGCCTTACCACTAGGAGGTTCATTTTCAAAGTGATATGCAGGCATTTCACTAGGCAACTCTATGTAGCCTCAGTGGTTTAAATCCACACATTTTGCTATGAAAATTTGCCTTTAGGTGTCCACAGATAATGTCCAATCATGTGATGTGCCCACCATCTTCTGTACTGAGCAGCCTCAATTCTCATTGACTAGCATGGCAGCAGAGGGGGCTCAGCATCTTGCAGGATTGAGCCTTTAGTTCAGATTTGTCCAGGAGATTCTGGGGACATCAGCAAAGCAAAAAAAACCACCCCAACTACTGGAAAAATATAAATGCTATTTTCCAAAATATTTTGCTCAGTGACTTTCCTTTTCCTCCTTCTAGCTCTTGGTGCTGTTAAAGGGAGGATTCTCCCTTTGCTGAGATATTTTGAGGCCCTCATAAGCTCAAGTGCTGCAGTTAGACACCCTCTGTGTGCAGCCATGACTCTGGAAGCAATCAAATGTGCATTGTTTGAAAAACAGTTAAATCTAGTTATGCACTGGGTCACACAGCAAAGGTAAGTAGGCGTGTAGTGTACTTGGATTCATATGGGTATGTACCCTTCCCCTGTAAAAGTTGCATTCATGCTTTTTCTAAGTGATCAGGCCTTGCCTGTTAAAAAAGATCACTCTCCTTTTCTTGTGAATTAGAACCATGCAAACACAATATCACAAAATGGCAATCTCGCAGATACAGTTCTTCAATGCTATTTATTAAATTCACCGTGGCATAAACCAAGAAAAATGAAGAGCATGAAAAGCTATTTTTGCAGAATGCAACATTTCATTTAAGATATCAGCCTTTGTTAGATCGCTGCAGACCAAAATTTTGTTTCAGGCCCCTTTTCTCCTATACTCTAGTAAAAAGTTATATGAAAATCAGATCGTGAGACTGTTTTTTGTTCTGGTACCATTTTTTAAAAATTAAAAACCTTCAGTTATTGGAAAAGCTAGAAGTTTTGTTTTTACTCTTATATGTGACTGTTTCTATAATAACAGCAGTATCTATACAGTATTTAATACAATTACTTCAAGAGACAGACCTGAACTGGAAACTCAAAGCTATCTTCCACCCCCTGTATTTCATTTTTGGGGATTGAAGTATTCAAATTCAAATTTGCAGAACTAATAGTGCCTCTGCAATTTTGCTTTTGGATCAAATCCTAAACTGGAAGGAACCTGTTTTCCAGATCCATTTCAGATGCATTTTAAAAGAGTGGAAATCCCACAAGAACAGTTTGGGAGATTTCCACTGTTCAGCATGGCATTAATCTAATTAGAATTCTGACATATGGGGCATGTCTCTTTATGGCTTTTCCTACCTCATGCGGTAATCTTTCCAAAAGAGCCATTATAGCATATTATATCACTAGAATTATAGTAATTGCTAAATCAATAGGACACTGGAAATTATGTTGAAATGTCAAGCCAGGCCTCGTATGTGGAGGAGGACAGGAGGTCTACATCCTTTTGTCAAAACTATAAGGTTAGTAAAGATGTCTCAGCCTGACGCACACTCTGAAGTGCTTTATTATGACTTTAGAATGGGACTGTAGAAATATTAAAAAATTCTAAAATTACTTGAATTATAGGCAGAGCTGGTAGCAATACCAAAGTTAAGGGTGCCTAACACTTTCCATCATAAGCCCCCATTTTCAGTTTCTTGTACTCTGCAAAGCTTTACCTGTTCAGGCTGAAATTTTCCATGCCAGATGTCTTCCTCAGTCTGAATTTCTTCGCAAAGTTTAAACAAAACCATTTCTGAGAATGATATTAGAGAAAAGTAGGTTGTTTTGCCAATGTTAAAAAAAATTCTTTCTTTGAAGAGAAACTCCATGCATTGGAGTAGGAACTTGAAATTGTTAGAGTAGCATTGGAGTCAGGGAGGTGTTTTTTCCTGCCTCTGAGGCAGTCCATCCAAATTTGGCCAAGTTATAAATATCTGAAATCTCCAGACATTTTGTCTGCACTGAACTTGCTATAGCCTCACACAGTTCCTTTATGCCAGCTGCACTGATTATCCTCTGAGGTTCTTATGTGTCTACCCCACGAATGCCCTGAGTAGGTTCCCAACTCAGCAGCAGACTCTTTGCCTGACTTACCAGGTGTCACAAAGTGGGCAGAACACACATTTCCCTTCCCCATACACGTTCTTGCACCCCAACTGGAATCACACATATACAGGAGGGCTGCAGTTGCCTGTTCCAACCACCAATGGCTAACATGGCACAGGCAGTGATGAAGAGGCTGTCTGTTCCGTGCTCCTAGATCTCTGTCTGCTGTGGCCCAAGCACATGGAAGGGGAAGGAGGAAACAACCTAACTCAAAAGCAGAGTTGGGGACAAGGGCAGAGGGGCACAAGAGCTGAAGGGGAGCAGTCAGTCTGGTATTTTCACACACAATCCAGTTCCGGTGTAACTGTTTTTGAAGTGCTCCAGAGTTATGAAAACACACAAATGACTATCTGGTTTGTTTTATTACCTTGTTTTCTTCAGGCTGACGTTTTGTGAGGCAGCAGGGGATGTGATTTATGACTATGGGGAGGTGGAACCATTCAACAAGTCCAAGTGTTTGGCTTTGGCTCAGATTGCCTACAGTCAGTGTGGCGTGCATAAGAAAGCTGCTCTGTGCTTGTGTAAACAGGGCCAAATTTGTGGAGCAATGGATTATATACAGCAATTCAAACACTTCACTTTCGGTAAATAACAGGGCATTTATTATATTGTCTTTCATCATTTTTCTACCAAATGTTTATCTCAGGGTTAAAAATTAAATCTTATCATGGTAACACTTTGGACTAAATTTTTAAATTGTACATTTTAAATTCACAGTAAAAATCCAATTCTGTTCTCATTGAGTATAATAGAAGCAGTATTTGGCTCTTAAGATGCCACTGCATATGTAAATAATATAAATAACTAGATATGTTACCCTAAAAGCAACTAAAGTGACTAGTTCAGTTGGAAATAGGGAATTTCTTCAGAGAACCATGCTTCAGTAGCTCCCGATTGATCTGCCATAGAGACTAGTGTGAGATTGGTAGAGGACTCCATAGCCTAAAGTTTCAAAATCTAAGAGGCTAGTTTGACCCATCTGTAGTTTAATCATAGATTCATTAATCTGATAACTAGAGGCTGCAGAGAAATTCTTTAAATATGATAATGGGAACTGAGGTAATTGCCTAATGAGTTCTTAGCGTCATTTGCACCTGTGCAAAGTGGTTATAAAACCCTGGCAAATCATAATGGCACCATTTTACACTCGGTACATAAACTGCACTGAAGTGTAGAATCAGGCCCTCTGAGAATATGTCTATAAAGCAGATTCTGATAGTTAATCATTCCCAGCCTCTGTCTTGGCAAAGCCCTTGTCATAAATATAAAGGGAAGGGTAACCACCTTTCTGTATACAGTGCTATAAAATCCCTCCTGGCCAGAGGCAAAATCCTTTCACCTGTAAAGGGTTAAGAAGCTAAGGTAACCCTGCTGGCACCTGACCTAAAATGGCCAGTGAGGGGACAAGATTCTTTCAAATCTGGAGGGGGGGGGGCCAAAGGATTTGGGCTGTCTGTGTGATGATTCTGCTGGGAACAGATCAGGAATGCAAGCTTTACAACTCCTGTAAAGTTAGTAAGTAATCTAGCTAGAAAATGTGTTAGATTTTCTTTTGTTTAATGGCTTGTAAAATAAGCTGTGCTGGAGGGAATGTGTATTCCTGTGTTTGTGTCTTTTTGTAACTGACGGTTTTGCCTAGAGGGATTCTCTCTGTTTTGAATCTGATTACCCTGTAAGGTATTTACCATCCTGATTTTACAGAGGTGATTCTTTTACCTTTTCTTTAATTAAAATTCTTCTTTTAAGAACTGGATTGATTTTTCATTGTTCTTAAGATCCAAGGGTTTGGGTCTGTGTTCACCTGTACCAATTGGTGAGGATTATTATCGAGCCTTCCCCAGGAAAGTGGATGTAGGGCTTGGGGGGGATATTTTGGGGGAAGACGTCTCCAAGTGGTCTCTTTTCCTGTTCTTTGTTTGAAACGCTTGGTGGTGGCAGCATACTGTTCAAGGACAAGGCAAAGTTTGTACCTTGGGGAAGTTTTTAACCTAAGCTGGTAAGAATAAGCTTAGGGGGTCTTTCATGCAGGTCCCCACATCTGTACCCGAGAATTCAGAGTGGGGAAGGAACCTTGACAGCCCTTCTCTCCAAACTTGACATAGAATGTTGTGAATGAGTTCCTCTGTCTAGTTTGACATGAAAATGTCCTCAGGTTTTTATCTGATGGGCTAAATCCTTAAAGTATCCATCGTTTATTTCTTTTGACACCAGTACATTAGATTCTGTTGTCTCCAAAAGCATCATGTTTAAAAGCTGTCTGACTGCATATGGCATTGTCATTGCATAGCAGACCTGCAAGTTCAAGGTCTTTTAAAGCCTAAGGAATATTGGCCAAACTAGGAGTGTTTTAATTCACTAACCCCTTTAATTTATTTTTGGATTTCTCTGCTAGTTATTATTCACATTTCTCATAAAGTATTTTATTTCTTGCGTTCTCTTGCCATCCTTCCCAACTTTTTATGTATGTTTGTATATATGTTTAATTTATTTGTATATAAATATTTAATTTAATAATTTATGAACACACATTTTGTAGCATTTCAGTATCTTTTATAAATAGATAATGGTGTATATTTTTATAGCAACATCCCTGATGTCAGAGTCCCTGTGAGCAGGGGGGTCTGTTGCAGCTTGTATCTTTGGAGAAGAGAAAATAATTTAGCTGTAATAATTATTCTTTTAAGTTTTAGTTAGGTATAATAGATCAACCCACAACCACTACCCATCTGAGGTGAGGCTTCTTCATGCATTTAGGGATTAATAACAAGAATTTTTGTTATAAGCTGGGGACTCATCAGTTGGAAGTAACAGAGGAGGAGAAGGACCTTGGAGTATTGGTTGATCACAGGATGACTGTGAGCCACCAATGTGATATGGCCGTGAAAAAAGCTAATGCGGTCTTGGGATGCATCAGGCGAGGTATTTCCAGTAGAGTAAGGAGGTGGTAGTACCATTGTACAAGGCACTGGTGAGACCTAATTTGGAATAGAATCATAGAATATCAGGGTTGGAAGGGACCCCTGAAGGTCATCTAGTCCAATCCCCTGCTCGAAGCAGGACCAATTCCCAGTTAAATCATCCCAGCCAGGGCTTTGTCAAGCCTGACCTTAAAAACTTCTAAGGAAGGAGATTCTACCACCTCCCTAGGTAACACATTCCAGTGTTTCACCACCCTCTTAGTGAAAAAGTTTTTCCTAATATCCAATCTAAACCTCCTCCCCTGCAACTTGAGACCATTACTCCTCGTTCTGTCATCTGCTACCATTGAGAACAGTCTAGAGCCATCCTCTTTGGAACCCCCTTTCAGGTAGTTGAAAGCAGCTATCAAATCCCCCCTCATTCTTCTCTTCTGCAGGCTAAACAATCCCAGCTCCCTCAGCCTCTCCTCATAACTCATGTGTTCTAGACCCCTAATCATTTTTGTTGCCCTTCGCTGGACTCTCTCCAATTTATCCACATCCTTCTTGTGGTGTGGGGCCCAAAACTGGACACAGTACTCCAGATGAGGCCTCACCAATGTCGAATAGAGGGGAACGATCACGTTCCTCGATCTGCTCGCTATGCCCCTACTTATACATCCCAAAATGCCATTGGCCTTCTTGGCAACAAGGGCACACTGCTGACTCATATCCAGCTTCTCGTCCACTGTCACCCCTAGGTCCTTTTCCGCAGAACTGCTGCCTAGCCATTCGGTCCCTAGTCTGTAGCGGTGCATTGGATTCTTCCATCCTAAGTGCAGGACCCTGTACTTATCCTTATTGAACCTCATCAGATTTCTTTTGGCCCAATCCTCCAATTTGTCTAGGTCCTTCTGTATCCTATCCCTCCCCTCCAGCGTATCTACCACTCCTCCCAGTTTAGTATCATCCGCAAATTTGCTGAGAGTGCAATCCACACCATCCTCCAGATCATTTATGAAGATATTGAACAAAACCGGCCCCAGGACCGACCCTTGGGGCACTCCACTTGATACCGGCTGCCAACTAGACATGGAGCCATTGATCACTACCCGTTGAGCCCGACAATCTAGCCAGCTTTCTACCCACCTTATAGTGCATTCATCCAGCCCATACTTCTTTAACTTGCTGACAAGAATACTGTAGGAGACCGTGTCAAAAGCTTTGCTAAGTCAAGATACAATACATCCACTGCTTTCCCTTCATCCACAGAACCAGTAATCTCATCATAAAAGGCGATTAGATTAGTCAGGCATGAACTTCCCTTGGTGAATCCATGCTGGCTGTTCCTGATCACTTTCCTCTCATGCAAGTGCTTCAGGATTGATTCTTTGAGGACCTGCTCCATGATTTTTCCAGGGACTGAGGTGAGGCTGACTGGCCTGTAGTTCCCAGGATCCTCCTTCTTCCCTTTTTTAAAGATTGGCACTACATTAGCCTTTTTCCAGTCATCCGGGACTTCCCCTGTTCGCCACGAGTTTTCAAAGATAATGGCCAATGGCTCTGCAATCACAGCCGCCAATTCCTTCAGCACTCTCGGATGCAACTCGTCCGGCCCCATGGACTTGTGCACGTCCAGCTTTTCTAAATAGTCCCTAACCACCTCTATCTCCACAGAGGGCTGGCCATCTCTTCCCCATTTTGTGATGCCCAGCGCAGCAGTCTGGGAGCTGACCTTGTTCGTGAAGACAGAGGCAAAAAAAGCATTGAGTACATTAGCTTTTTCCACATCCTCTGTCACTAGGTTGCCTCCCTCATTCAGTAAGGGGCCCACACTTTCCTTGGCTTTCTTCTTGTTGCCAACATACCTGAAGAAACCCTTCTTGTTACTCTTGACATCTCTTGCTAGCTGCAGCTCCAGGTGCGATTTGGCCCTGCTGATGTCATTCCTACATGCCCGAGCAATATTTTTATACTCTTCCCTGGTCATATGTCCAACCTTCCACTTCTTGTAAGCTTCTTTTTTATGTTTAAGATCCGCTAGGATTTCACCATTAAGCCAAGCTGGTCGCCTGCCATATTTACTATTCTTTCGACTCATTGGGATGGTTTGTCCCTGTAACCTCAACAGGGATTCCTTGAAATACAGCCAGCTCTCCTGGACTCCTTTCCCCTTCAAGTTAGTCCCCCAGGGGATCCTGGCCATCCGTTCCCTGAGGGAGTCGAAGTCTGCTTTCCTGAAGTCCAGGGTCCATATCCTGCTGCTTACCTTTCTTCCCTGTGTGCAGTTCTGGTCTCCCATATTTAAGAACATAACAATGGTCAGACCAAAGGTCCATCTAGCCCAGTATCCTGTCCACTGACAGTAGCCAATGCCAGGTGCCCCAGAGGGGGTGAACCTAACAGGTAATTATCAAGTGACCTCTCTCCTGCCATCCACCTCCACCCTCTGACAAACAGAGGCGAGGGACACCATTCCTTACCTATCCTGGCTAATAGCCATTAATGGACTTAATCTCCATGAATTTATCCAGTTCTCTTTTAAACCCTGTTATAGTCCTAGCTTTCATAACCTCCTCAGGCAAGGAGTTCCACAGGTTGACTGTGCTCTGAGTGAAGAAGAACTTCCTTTTATTTGTTTTAAACCTGCTCCACATTAATTTCATTTGGTGACCCCTAGTTTTTAT